TGGAACGTTTTGATGTGTTTGAGTGGGACAGGATTTTTTGTCTCCAGGGGCTGCACCTCCAGCCTGTTGTTTGGGGAAAATTTACCTGATGTGCCCCAAACTGATCTAATTACAACCTTAACCTTGCAAAAAATGGCGTAGAACGGCAGACTTGTCTTGCTGAAGCAGGGTGTTTTTTTTCCTGCTTCTGCACCACCTGAAGTGTTTGTTCCCTTTCGGAACACAAAGGCGAATGTATTTTGCAAAAGCCAAGCCAATAAAGAGATTGTAACCTTGAATGACTCTTCGCAGTAGTAATCACGTGTGTTTTGATTAACAGCAACACTAACACAGTATACAAACAAAGCAATCCTGCAGGTACTTACAATTAACGGACTTTATAACCACCGTTAGAGCTAACTCTCCCCTGTCGATTCCTTCTGCAGCGAGAGAGAGACACCTTCAGTATAGAAAAGCTGCAAAAACGTTTAATATAACTATATTTTAGAGCCCTGCAATACTGAACGATAGACATACTACACTGCAAATTAAAAACAAAGACGTGAAGCTGGCAGTGGTGTGGTTTCTGAGTGACCTGGCCCTCTCGGAGTCATTCGCGACTGAGTCACGGCGATCCCTTCCCGTGGGCCAAGCACCGCCGCTCCCACCGCAGGCGCAGAGCAGCTGGAGGTGCTGGCTGAGGGACCCAGCCCCACGCCACGGCAGGCCGCTCCCCTTTGCTCTCCGTGGGAGTGGGCCCCGTTGGAAGCAGCCTCCCGAAAGCAGGTTCTAAATTGGCTCGCAGGGAAAGGCGAGGATCCTCGGTGACTTGCACTGGGGGGGACTTCGGGCTGGGGACTCGAAGTTTGGCGCTTTTTGTTAAAATATATATTTTTTTTTTTGAGTGTTTTTCTTAGATATCTACATAAATGTTTTTACAGAAGTATATGTTTTGTTGTTGTTGTTGAAGATGAGCGGCTTTATTTTCTGAGCTAAGTGAGAAATTACGATTTAAAAAACCTTTAATTTTTAAAGAGAAACTCTTCGGTTGGCTCAGTTCCTTGTGCCTCTGGTAATTTGTCATCTTTAATGTTTACTAAACAGCACTAAATGTACTTAATGAAATACTTTTTAACCCTTTGTTTTTCCTCCCTGGAGCAAGCACGGATGTGGGGAGGTGGTTAGTGGAGAATATCAAATCCAATAGTAGGAGCATCACTCCCTGGGAGGAACCAGGGCCCTTCTGGTGTCGGTGCCCTGTCTCCTGCTGAGGGTCCTTAGGGAAAAATGAGGTGGTCATCTCCTGTGTCCTCGCAGCCGTTACCAGCGAGAGGTTCGGGGACTTCCTAGTTAAAGTCCGTTTTCTCAGGACTTGCGGGTGAATGTGCCTGGTCCTGGCAACTCGATGGGCTTTAAAATCTTTTTTTATCGGCGATTCAGTGGCTGATCTCCACAAAAGGTGTCCCTGGTGTAGTAAAATCCTTGAGTTAGCGAATGCTTCTTGTTTTTTTTTTTTTTTTTTTTTTTTTTTAAATGGTCTTTCGAATGCTCTCTCATGTTTGGCTAACGTGTTGGCAAACCTGTGGCTATTAGCCAGTAGGCTAGCAGTCTGGGCTCTCAGTCTCCGGGCTGTGGCTCCCGTGCAAAGCTCCGCTCCCCGCCGCGGGAGCCCCGTGCAGAGCAGGCCCCCCGGCGCTCGGTGGCTCTTACCCCGATGAAGCTTTGCCTCCAAACTCACCCGCTGGCTAAGGAGAGAGGATTTGCAGGTTAGAGCAGGAGTTGCAGCCTTTGTTTCCAGCTGGTCCGAGTCCCGCCGCCGTCATCTAAGAAATTGAAACCTGGTGAGGCCCAAGTACCAGCACAGACAAGCCAACCCCGCGCAGCGGGTTACCTGGCCTTGATGTTTGAGGCAGAGGTGGGTGCTCCCAGCGCGAAGGGCGGCTCTGGGCCCCCCCCCGGGGACGTGGGGGTGAGGACGTGAGGCCGGGCTGAGCCCGCGGCCGGTCCGGGGGCACATTGGTGCCAGGGGCCAAAGGGAGGCAGCGAAATCTCCTGTTGGGGCACGCCGGGCCGGGAGGAAATGGTAAGGCAAGGCGCTGCCGCTGTTCTTTTGCCGAGGGGAATGTGTATAACAAAGCAATTGAACCGTCTCTTCAGGAAAACGCAGGTTATAAAAGCAGACTTAATTTTGTGCTTCAGTTTTTTACCAAAGAGCTGATTCCTGAAGCCGTTTCCCAGCTCACAACACATCTGTAGGCATTAAAATATTGTGAATTTGCTTGTCATTACCAATATTTTCTTTGACTGAAGCTATTGAAACAAAGTAGTCTTTTTTTTTTTTTTTTTTTTTTCTTTAACCCTCAATCTTGCTTCTAAAAGAAGTCACTCTTTTTCTTTCTTTCTTTCCTGGTCAAATATAAAAATGATGATAATTTCAAATATTACTTTAGAATAATTGCTTTCCTCCCTCTTTTGTATGACAACAGAAGCCTGGCCTGATCTTAAATCAGATGCTGGCAGGCAGAGGGCTCTTGACAGCCCTGCAAAATCCTTTAGTTACAAGTCAGCTTTAGCCAATTCTTTATTTGTAAATGACAATTTTCTACAGAAAAATATATGCTTGGGCTTCAATTTCGGAGTCCTAGATTGCAGCCAGGAAAAAATAATTGAATTTTTATACTGTTTTTTTCCTCTCTTTTCTTCCTATCTCGTAGGGAAAAAAAAAAAAAAGAAAAAGTGAAGCTCTGTAAAGCAGGGTTAGGGGCCGATTGAGGGAAATATCTACCCTGATTAATTTGAATGGCAGTGGAGGAGGGAATGATGTTAAATTTGTTCTGTGCTGAGAAAATCTGGGGCTACTCCAAGCTTTTTGTCCAGCGTCTCAGTATTGCAAAGGCTTTGCCCGCAGCGGCACAGCACGGCTTGTCACCGCGGCTCTCCTGGCCGGGGGGGCCTGGCTGGGGGTCACCACGGTTCTCCTGGCTGGGGGTCACCGCGGCTTTCCTGGCTGGGGGTCACCGGGGGGGCCTGGCTGGGGGTCACCACAGCTCTCCTGGCCAAGGGGACCTGGCTGGGGGTCACCGGGGGGGCCTGGCTGGGGGTCACTGGGGGGCCTGGCTGGGGGTCACTGCAGCTCTCTTGGCCAAGGGGACCTGGCTGGGGGTCACTGGGGGGGCCTGGCTGGGGGTCACCACAGTTTTCCTGGCTGGGGGTCACTGGGGGGGCCTGGCTGGGGGTCACCGCGGCTCTCCTGGCCAAGGGGACCTGGCTGGGGGTCACCGGGGGACCTGGCTGGGGGTCACCGGGGGGCCTGGCTGGGGGGGTCACTGGGGGGACCTGGCTGGGGGTCACCGGGGGGGGCCTGGCTGGGGGTCACCGCGGCTCTCCTGGCCAAGGGGCCCTGGCTGGGGGTCACGGGGGGGCCCTGGCTGGGGGTCACGGGGGGGGCCTGGCTGGGGGTCACGGGGGGGACCTGGCTGGGGGTCACGGGGGGGGCCTGGATGGGGGTCACCGGGGGGGCCTGGCTGGGGGTCACTGCGGCTCTCCGGGGGTCTGACGTGTGGGACGGGCTCTCGCGGCGCGGGGGCAGAACCACGGGGCAGCCCCTGGCATAGGGGGTGCCCATCCTGCTGCTCCAGCACCGGGACTCTTGGTGCTGGGCTGCACCTCACGACCTGCCACAGGTATCGTAAAATGCATCTCGTCTTTAATGAGTGAATAAAAAAGTGAGAAAATTCCAGGCTGCGCGCTAAGCAGCCGCAGCAGTCGTGTCTCCGGCCGACTGCCCAGTGGTGTTGCCTCTGCGTTGCTATTTCCCTGGCCGTTAATTAACCAGGCAAGTCCCAGTTCTGGAGTTAGGGGACATTTTTCCCCCCTCAGTCTTTGTAACCTGGCTGCTTCAGCCAGCTTCTGTCATACAAAAAACTAACTCAAGCGTTTTAACGCATGAATTTATCGACGTGTTTGTTGGGTTCTTGAGTTAACGTGCAGTGTTGACTCTCGGACGTTTCCGTATGGTGGGGTGGGCTGCTAATTACTCGTCTGCAGTAGCGAGGGCACTGCCTGCCATAAGCTGGGCTGTCCCCCCCTGCCCACGCAGCCGGGGACGAGGCCTGCCCCTTCGGAACATGCCGACAGTGCTGTCCTGGCTCTCCCTTGATTTAACGTGGCCCTCGAAGGTCAGGCGGTTTGGAATCAGCCCAGCAAAGACCTCAACTTCCCCTGCCACCGCTGGGGTTGGGGTCCCTGGGCCGGATCCTGCCCATCTTAAAGGGTTACAGGTGACAGATAACGGGTTATCCGGTAGTCTGTTCTCTCTAGGGCGTCCAGCAGCGTCCCTTCACCATCACCTTGGCCCAGCCTCGGGCGCGGGCGGGTCAGCCAGAAGAGCTGGGTGCTCAGCTGGGCTCCTGGGGAACGCGGAGGGGTTTCTGAAGGGCGTGATCCAGCCCCTGATGGCCGGGGATACGGGGCAGCATTTCGGCTGAAACTTGCTTTGTGGCAGCTAGAGGACTGCCTCGGTAGCTCTTGCCAGCCTTTGTCATTTATTTCTAAAGTAACTGTGCAAGTTCCTTTTAAACTGACCCACAGAAACTTAATAACACATCTCTTCGATTTGATGCAATTACCTTTTGTCTGCCAAAGAGCATGCACTCTGTCTTTAGGAAAAAAGAGGGGGAAAATGTCACATCTTCTTTCAGACTGTAGCTATGAGGATACGACACTTGGACTCCTTCTTCACTTATATTTGCATTGAGAAGCACAATAAAAATCATTTATTAAAAAAAAATATCCAGGGGCTACAGTTGTTATTGAGTGTCTTTACTCAGCCATTTCTCAAATAAAAACAAAACAAGACAAAGAAAAAAGAAGTATCTAATCAAATAGAATCTGAATTGCTTTTGTAAAGAAATATTCTCATTAACTGGGTTAGGGATGGCATCTGAAGAATATGTCTTTTTTCCACATATTGTTTGAAATAATCTGGTTAAACTGTATGCTTGTCTTGTAATTTCTTACAGATGGTCACAAGAACAAAGAAAATATTTGTAGGTGGATTATCGGCTAATACAGTAGTGGAAGACGTAAAGCAATACTTTGAACAGTTTGGCAAGGTAAGTTCCTGCCTAAGTGAGCACTACATATTTTGAATACTTTTTTTTTTTTTTTTTTTTAAAAGTGTGTTTTGAAAAGCAGAAGTGCTATGAGGCCTACACTCAAAGGATGGCCATATTTTTTACCTTTCTGTGTAATTTCTCGAAGCCTCTGGAGCCACTTCTGGATTTCCTTTTCTGGTGCATGTGTATGTGTACAGTGTTTTCCACCACTGTTTACTTTCATTAAAGGAAAAAGAATAAGTGGGAGGTGAATTTGTGTATGCGCAGGAAGAATCTGACCCCTAGCTGAATGATTACACAGTTGTCTTCTCCATAAAATCAGCCTTCTGTTTACCCCTGATTCCAGTGGCAAAAGGAGCAAATAGATGTATTTGAGAGAGCTCATTAAGTTGTGAAAATGCCCGAAGGAACCACGTGAATAGCAAGAGTAACATAGAAGTCACTAGAATATCCATTTAATTTCTTATTAAAAAATCCTTATGCAAGATCCTGTGGAAGTATATTTAGAATCTTGACATAATTAAAAAAAAAAAAAACAACCAACCAAACAAATAAAAAACCAAAAACAAACCAAACCAACAAAAACCAAACCAAGTTTACATACGGAAGGAAACCTGAACCTTGCCCGAATAGTCTTCTCAGTGATGGAGCAGCTCTGACCCCCCCGTCCGGGCCCTGGCTGGAGCTTAGCGCCACCATGGAGCTCCCTGGATCCCCAAAGCTTCTGGATGCTGGCTCAGGAGTCCGCCGAGGGGAAGAGCTTGCAGAGCCCTCTGCTTCGAGAGCAGCTCGTGGTGCCACCTTCCACAGAGGCTCCTGCCAGCCCCGCTGGCCGCGCGGCTCCGCACGGCGCGACTCCTGCCTTTTGGAGCGCATCAGCGGAGGAGTTAGATGCGTGATTGCATGGGGCCACAGCAGGATGTCCCAAAGCAAAGCAGCTCCCATTCCTTGTAGTTAGTTTACGTTTCTTTTATCTGCCCTGAAAAGCCTTGGCCAGGCAGTATTTTGTTGAGGGCTGAGGAGAGGGGAGTTTATAAATTGTTCCTGTGCTGGATTGATAGTTGTTTTGCAAACCATTCATTTTATTTTCAATAATAATCTTCGATTCCGGCAGGATGTTTACAGCCTGCTGAGCCTTTTATTGAAGGATTACATGAGCTTTTGGATGTTTCTTCTGTAGTTACTTCTAATTGCAGAACTCTAACCTGTATTTTTGAAGTTAATAATAGTTTCAGTATAAGTGCTTTGCATATTGTCTGGATGCTGTCTTAATATAGTCTTTTTAATTTCACCATCTGGTAGTTTCATGCTTGCAATTTTACAGTCCCCGAGAATGCAGACAACTAGGCTGTGTTTTTCAGTAGTGACTAGTGATTCGGGATGCTTCAGTCCTGCTTTCATGCTCTGCCTTTCTTGAGATAGCTTAAAAGAGGTCTGGCTTTCCCAAGGCAATATTTTTGGGAAATGAAGTATTTTTTTTTTTTCAGGGGTCCTAATTTGAAGGCTAAAGAATTAAGGTCATTGCCCACACGGCAGTCAAGGCTGGAGCCCGTTCCTCTGGCAGTAGGGCTGGGTGATGTCCTGCCGAGGTGGTGGGGTCCAGTCGTTGGAGCTCGGCTCCTGTGGGACTCGGGCTCGCGGGGCTCGGTCCCTGTGACACCAGTTGACCTTCTCCAGTTGCATCCCTGTTGCACGCTCCCCTGCTGTAGCTTGTGAAGGGGAGAGGAGTTTGAAGTTGGTGGCGTGCTGGAGGAGAGGCTTCTGGGCTGTGCCACCGTGACTCGACCTTGCGTGCAGGCGGTCGAGGTCTCTCTGCTACACTTTGCTGTTTATCAGCTGAGACGCTTCGGTTTGTGGGGTGTTTTGAAGTGGTTTTACCCATGACTCTGGTGGTGAGAAAATGCAGAGCTGGTTAATGACTCCAGGAAATGGGGACTTTTGGTCTGGAATCTAGAAGTCTCGGTAATAGGCTGCAGTGGCTGGGATGCTGCGTTTGGATATAATGACCCAGGATTGGCCCTGTGGGACCTCGCAGGAGCTGCTTCCTTCTCCAGGCCGCTTCCCTACCTTTCCTTGACTTGCTTGCTCAGGTTGCAAGCTCTTCGTGGCAGGTGATCCATCTGTGTGCACTGCTTAGCACACAAGCCTTGCTCTCCAGTCAAGCCATTACAATGCAAACAGTGCATCACGATCGATTGGCAAGGTTTGCATTTGCTTAGCACTTTCTTAAAATAAAGAAAATTGCATTACATAATTAATGTGTAGAGGAGCCGCCCATATTTGATAAGAGCATCTCGGGTGACTTGCTCTTTGAAATGCTGAGCTTATTTATTGGTGTGGAAAAAATTGCTTACCTACTGCTGTGATTCTTGAAATCCTGTTTGTACTTGCTGCAGAGAAGAGCTTTGCAAGCAGGGGAGGTTGTTTTGGTAACTGGAGGTAGCTCTCAAAATACACGAGATGGTTAGAACAGCTCCGAGCTTTGGGGCCCGGCGGACTCGCTCGTTTAACTGGAGTTGGCAGGGAAGGGCCTAAAGTGTTGAATTTGAAACTGCAGCTTTTTGAAAAGTAAATGCCAGAACCTTTCTCTCCAATAAAAAGAAGAATGCTTTAATAAACCCTCTTCCCCGACTTCACCAGTGAAAATGCCTGCCCTTTAGAGTACCAAACTACGTGGTAATGATAACTCCTGAGACTTTGATCGTGAAATTTCTGATAGCGATTATTTTTTTTCTTTCTGTAAAGCCCAGGATCTGTAGGAATCCCAGCTTTCATTTTGCCAAGATGGGCATCCCTGGCTGCTGTAAGGTGCGGAGGAAGGCTGGGGAAAACTTACCTGAGCGAAGCCAAAAGGCTTAACAGAACAGGCACGACACAGCAATTAACAGCCTTGTGATAGGGAAATGCTTAGAGCTGATGGTGCTGAACCTGAGCACACACAGTCGTGGGGCTCCCCAGAGAGGCGGGGGGGGGGAGCTGGGTGCTGGGGGGGGGAGCTGGGTGCCGGGGGGGGGAGCTGGGTGCTGGGGGGGGGGGGGAGCTGGGTGCCGGGGGGGGGGAGCTGGGTGCCGGGGGGGGGGAGCTGGGTGCCAGGGGGGGAGCTGGGAGCCGGGGAGGGGGATCTGGGTGCCGGCGAGGGGGAGCTGGGAGCCGGGGAGGGGAGCTGGGAGCCGGGGGGCGGGAGCTGGGAGCCGGGGAGGGGGGACTGCAGTTCAGGCTGGCAGGGAGCAGGCTCGAGGCCGGCAGCATAGGAGGGGTATCTGGGTGAGAGTTTGGGGTTGAGGCTTCTCCTTCCAGTGGTTTCAGGGAGCAGGAGGATGTGAGGAGGCTCAGCCAGGAGGACGAACCACCGAACTAAGCCATAACTGTTTACAATCATGAAAGGGGGGGGGGAAGCCATTGTCTTACTACCTAATCCTGATAGTCTAACGCAGTTGTTTCTGTGATCGTCTGTTATTTCAGTCAAAGATGTTTCAAACATTCTTGCTAACAAAATAAATTAATCGGCCACGTTAAGCCATCCAGGGTCTTCAGCATTGCTCATATGCTGATGTGTGAAAAGCTGGCTGTTAAGACCAAGTTTTAGTAGAATTTAAATGAGCAAGTGTTAGAAGTGAGATCCAGAGGGGAGCGCGGCGGGGCTGCGGTTTCCTCTCCTCGGGAGAGGCTGCGCGAGCCCTGAGCCCTCGGCAGGGCTGTGGCTGCAGATCTGCCTGATCCGTGGCTCTCTGGACGTGTAAGCGAGATGATGCTCTCCGAGATCAGGACACGTTGGAGCATTCAGGGCTTCTGGTGTCGTTTAAAAAAGGAAAAAAAAGAAAAGCAACAGCCTCTTAAAGCCTCACCCAGAGGACTGTGACCAGCAGAAGAAAGCTCCCAAAGGCTAATGAATTGCACTTCTCTCAGGACGGGCATGTTCTGCACCTTTTAAGCTGAAAGTGACTGATGATAAGGGACTTCTGAGGGTTTGTTTTTTACTAGGTAATGCTGCCTTTATAGAGCTCCTGTGAAAGTAGTGTAGTCCTTACTTTGCGACTTGCAATTATACTTCACATGGCGAACTGTGTAATTAGTTTGGAAGACTTATGCCTAGTCATTGGTTTATCCTAATCGGCTTTGGCTTTTCCCAACAACAAAGTGAGCTTATTTTCCTAAGCTGAAACAACTCTGCTCCCTTTGTTCCTCTCTTTTATTGTCTCATTCCTTTCATTCTGTTTTACTGCCAAAGTTTTGTTTCATTAGGCCTACAAGTCATTTCCAATCCAGTGGGCTGCTACAATAAGGCCTTTATAACTCAGCTGCCCTGGTTCCCATGTCCCTTCTGGTCTGGAGCCAGGACTTGCTGTTTGACATGGGATTTTAACCCTTTTGGTGCCCCAGCTGCGAGTCCCCCCCTTCGTGCTGGGGCTGCCTTGGTGGGGTGCCAGCCAGGCTCGGGGTGCGTGTTGGCGGGACTGCCCGGCGGGCTTCCGAACCCAACCGCCCGCGCGCTGTCATTAACTGACACGGTAATGTGGTTGGGCTCCAGGTACACTTTTTGACCCAATTATCGAAGCAGAACTCTGCGCAAAAAAAAAAAAAAAAAAATTCTTCTTACTGAAATACTGTAATCAGGCTTGGTGGGAACAGTCCTTCGAATGAAAAGGCTACTGTGTCCCTCCAGCCCCTGTTTCCAGCACGATGGGAACAGCGTTACGTTAAAGGTACATTTCAGTTGTCCTGAGCTATTAGATCAGCCCCTATATGCCTGTTCTTGTTGAAAAATCATGGGGTTTTGTGTGGGAGCGAATACATTCACATTTATACTTTTTTTGAAAAAGAATGGTGGTTTTTAAAGGAGGTGTGTGAAATAGTTTTGTGGACAAACTATTTTTACATGTTGTTATTTCAAACTGCTAGAAAAGCAGTGCTGGTGTTGGTGGCCCCAGCTGCTTTACTGCCTCTAAAAATTTCGAAGCGGGAGCACTAGCTCTACATTTTTTCACTCACACCAATCC